GATCGGCCACTTTTGGGCGAATATCAACCTAAGCTCACGATCGAGGCCGATGAGTCTCCGTGGTTGTCACTATTGGCTATGATGTAGGTCGCAAAAACCTCAAACCAGCTATTATAGTTTCTCTATAGATTGTTTCACGCTTATTCACACCGTCCCTTCCAGGAACTCGAAATGCTCGCATGCCCGCATTGTCTCGAAAAACTAAAAAAGTGTATTTTCTCGGCTTAAAAGTCATTTTTTTGCAAAAATCACCCCAAGGTCAAGGCCAAAGGCAATGAGTTTTTATCGTTGGCTCGTTTTGCCATCAAACTGGGTCTAAAATTGCTCAAAACTTGGTCGGCCATTTTTGGGCGAAACATCAACCTCGACTCACAGTCGAGGCCGATGAGTCTCTGTGGTTGTCACATTGGCTTTGATGTAGGTCCCAAAAACATCAAACCAGCTAATTACATTTTCTGCATAGATTGTTTCATGCTTGTTCACACCGGCCCTTACAGGAAGTCAAAAGTTCGCATGCTTGCATTGTCTCAAAAAACTAAAAAGTGTATTTTGTCGGCCTAAAAGTCATTTTTTTGCACGAATCACCCCTGAGTCATGGCCATAGGCGATGAGTTTTTATCATTGGCTCGTTTGCCATCGAACCGGGTCTAAAACTATTCAAAACTTGGTCGTCCATTTTTGGGCGAACATCAACCTCGACTCACGGTCGAGGCCGATGAGTCTTTGTGGTTGTCACTTTGGCTATGATGTAGGTCTCAAAAACCTCAAACCAGCAATTACAGTTTCTCCATAGATTGTTTCATGCTTGTTCACACCGACCCTTGCAGGATCTCAAAAGCTCGAATGCTCGTATTTTCTCGAAAAACTTAAAAAGTGTATATTCTCGGCCTAAAAGTCATTTTTTTGCAAAAATCATCCCCGAGTCATGGCCAAAGGCGATGAGTTTTTATCGTTGGCTCGTTTGTCATCAAACTAGGTCTAAAACTGCTCAAAACTTTGTCGGCTATTTTTGGGCAAAAATCAACCGCGACTCACGACTCGATGCCGATGAGTCTCTGTGGTTGTCACTTTGGCTATGATATAGGTCTCAAAAACCTCAAACCAGCAATTACAGTTTCTCTACAGATTGTTTCACGCTTGTTCACATCGGCGCTTCCAGGAACTCGAAAGCTCGCATGCTCGCATTGTCTCGAAAAACTAAAAAAGTGTATTTTCTCGGCCTAAAAGTCTTTTTTTCAAAAATTTCCCCTAGGTCATGGCCTTAGGCAATTAGTTTTTATCGTTGGCTCGTTTGCCATCGAACCGGGTCTAAAACTACTCAAAACTTGGTCGCCCATTTTTGGGCGAACATCAACCTCGGCTCACGGTCGATCCCGATGAGTCTCTGTGGTTGTCACTTTGGCTATGATGTTGGTCCCAAAAACCTCAAACCAGCAATTACAGTTTCTCCATAGATTGTTTCATGCTTGTTCACACCAACCCTTCCATGAACTCGAATGCTCGCATGCCTGCATTTTCTCGAAAAACTAAAAAAGTGTATTTTCTCGACCTAAAAGTCATTTTTTTTGCAAAAATCACCCCCAGTGCTATGGCCAAAGGCGATGAGTTTTTATCGTTGACTCATTTTGCCATCGAACTCGGGTCTAAAACTACTCAAAACTTGGTCGGCCATTTTTGGGTGAAAATCAACCGCAGCTCACGGTCGATGCCGATGAGTCTCTGTGGTTGTCACTTTGGCTATGATATAAGTCTCAAAAACCTCAAACCAAGCAATTATAGTTTCTCTATAGATTGTTTCACGCTTGTTCACACCGGCCCTTCCAAGAACTCGAAAGCTCGCATGCCCGTATTATCTCGAAAAACTAAAAAAGTGTATTTTCTCGGCCTAAATGTCATTTTTTTGAAATAATCACCCCCGAGTCAAGGCCAAATGCAATAAGTTTTTATCGTTGGCTCGTTTGCCATTGAACCGGGTCTAAAATTGCTCAAAACTTGGTTGGCCATTTTTGGACGAAAATCAACCGCGGCTCACGGTCGATGCCGATGAGTCTCTGTGGTTGTCACTTTGGCTATGATGTAGGTCTCAAAAACCTCAAACCAGTAATTACGGTTTCTCTATAGAATGTTTCACGCTTGTTCACACCATCCCTTCCCGGAACTCGAAAGCTCGCATGCCCGCATTATCTCGAAAAACTAAAAAAGTGTATTTTCTCGGCCAAAAAGAATTTTTTTGCAAAAATCACCCCTAGGTCATGCCCATAGGCGATGAGTTTTCATCGTTGGCTCGTTTGCCATCGAACCGGGTCTAAAACTGCTCAAAACTTAGTCGGCCATTTTTGGACGAAAATCAACCTCGGCTCACGGTCGATCCCGATGAGTCTCTGTGGTTGTCTCTTTGGATATGATGTAGATCCCAAAAACCTCAAACCAGCTATTACAGTTTCTCTATTGATTGTATCATGCTTGTTCACATCATCCCTTCCGGGAACTCAAAAGCTCGCATGCCCGCATTGTCTCGAAAAACTAAAAAGTGTATTTTCTCGGCCTAAAAGTCATTTTTTTGCAAGAATCTCCCCGAGTCATGGCCATAGGCGATGAGTTTTTATCGTTGGCTCGTTTTCCATCGAATCGGGTCTAATAATGCTCAAAACTTGGTCGGCCATTTTTGGACGAAAATCAACCGTCAGCTCACGCGTCGATGCCGATGAGTCTCTCGTGGTTGTCACTTTGGCTATGATGTAGGTCTCAAAAACCTCAAACCAGTAATTATAGTTTCTCTAAAGATTGTTTTATGCTCGTTCATACCGCCTTCTAGATTGTTTTATGCTCGTTCATACGGCCCTTCTAGGAACTCGAAAGCTCACATGCGGTATTTTCTCAAAAAACTGAAAAAGCGTATTTTCTCGACCTAAACGTCGTTTTCTTTACCAAAATCACCCCCGAGTCATGGCCATAGGCAATTAGTTTTTATCGTTGGCTTGTTTGCCATCAAGCCGGGTCTAAAACTGCTCAAAACTAAATCGGCTTTTTTGGGCGAAAATTAACCTCGGCTCACGGTCGAGGCCGATGAGTCTCCGTGGTTGTCACTTTGGCTATGATGTAGGTCCCAAAAACCACAAACCGAGCAATTATAGTTTCTCTATAGATTGTTTCATGCTTGTTCACATCGAGCCTTCCAGGAACTCAAAAGCTCGCATGCACGTATTGTCTCGAAAAACTAAAAAAGTGTATTTTCTCGGCCTAAAAGTCGTTTTTTTGCAAGAATCACCCCCAGGTCATGGCAAAAGGCGATGAGTTTTTATCATTGGCTCGTTTGCCATCGAACCGGGTCTAAAACTACTCAAAACTTGATCGGCCATTTTAGAGAGAAAATCAACCTCGAGCTCATACTCGAGGCCGATGAATCTCTTTGGTTGTCACTTTGGCTATGATGTAGGTCTCAAAAACCCTAAACCAGCAATTATAGTTTCTCTATAGATTGTTTCATGCTTGTTCACATCGGCCCTTCCTAGGAACTCAAAAGCTCGAATGCTCGCATTTTCTCGAAAAACTAAAAAGTTTTATTTTCTCGGCCTAAAAGTCATTTTTTTGTAAAAATCACCCCCGTGTCATGGCCAAAGGTGATGAGTTTTTATCATTCGCTCGTTTGCCATCGAACTGGGTCTAAAACGTCTCGAAAACATGGTCGCCCATTTTTGGGCGAAAATCAACCTCGGCTCACGGTCGAGGCCGATGAGTCTCGTGGTTGTCACTTTGGCTATGATGTAGGTCTCAAAGACCACAAACCAGCAATTACAGTTTCTTTATAGATTGTTTCATGCTCGTTCACATCGGCCTTTCCAGGAACTCGAAAGCTCGCATGCTCGCATTGTCTCGAAAAACTAGAAAAGCGTATTTTCTCGACCCAAACGTCATTTTTTGCAAAAAAAACCCCGAGTTCATGGCCAAAGGTGATGAGTCTTTATTGTTGGCTCATTTTCAATCGAACTCGGGTCTAAAACAACTCAAAACTTGGTCGGCCATTTTTGGGCGAAAATCAACCTTCGCTCGCGGTCGAGGCCGATGAGTCTCTGTGGTTGTCACTTTGGCTATGATGTAGGTCCTAAAAACCTTAAACAAGCAATTACAATTTCTCCATAGATTATTTCATGCTCGTTCACACCGTCCCTTTCCGGAACTCGAAAGCTCAAATGCCGTATTGTCTCGAAAAACTCAAAAAACGTATTTTCTCGACTTAAACGTCATTTTTTTGCATAAATCACCCCTGGGTCATGGCCCAAGGTAATTAGTTTTTATCGTTGGCTCGTTTGCCATCGAACTGGGTCTAAAACTCGCTCAAAACTTGGTCGGCTATTTTTGGGCGAAAATCAACCTCAGCTCACCGTCGAGGCCGATGAGTCTCCGTGGTTGTCACGTTGGCTACTATGTAGGTCTCATAAACCTCAAACCAGTAATTACAGTTTCTCTATAGATTGTTTCACGCTTGTTCACATAAGCCCTTTCGGGAACTTGAAAGCTCTCATGCCCGCATTGTCTCGAAAAACTAAAAAAAGTGTATTTTCTCGGCCTAAAAGTCATTTTTTCGAAAAATCACCCCGAGTCATGGCCAAAGGCGATGAGTTTTTATCATTGGCTCGTTTGCCATCGAATTAGGTCTAAAAGTTCTCGAAACTGGGTCGCCCATTTTTGGGCGAAAATCAACCTCGGCTCACGGTCGAGCCCGATGAGTCTCTGTGGTTGTCACTTTGGCTATGATGTAGGTCCCAAAAACCTCAAACCAGGAATTATAGTTTCTCTATAGATTGTTTCACGCTCATTCACATCGGCTCTTATAGGAACTCGAAAGCTCGCATGCTCGTATTGTCTCGAAAAACTAAAAAAATGTATTTTCTCGGCCTAAAAGTCATTTTTTTGCAAGAATCACCCCCAAGTCATTGCCATAGGCGATGCGTTTTTATCGTTGGCTCGTTTTCCATCGAACCGGGTCTAAAACTCGCTCAAAACTAAATCGGCCATTTTTGGGCGAACATCAACCTCGACTCACGGTCGAGGTTGATGAGTCTCCGTGGTTGTCACCTTGGCTATGATGTAGGTCTCAAAAACCTCAAACCGAGCAATTACAATTTCTCTATAGATTGTTTCACGCTTGTTCACATCGACCCTTCCAGGAACTCAAAGGCTCGAATACTCGCATTTTCTCGAAAAACTAAAAAATTGTATTTTCTCGGCCTAAAAGTCGTTTTTTTGCAAAAATACGCCCGAGTCATGGCCATAGGCGATATGTTTTTATCGTTGGCTTGTTTGCCATCAAACCGGGTCTAAAACTCGCTCAAAACTTGGTCGACTATTTTTGGGCGAAAATAAACCTCGACTCACTATCGAGGCCGATGAGTCTCCGTAGTTGTTACTTTGGCTATTATGTAGGTCTCAAAAACCTCAAACCAGCAATTATAGTTTCTCTACAGATTGTTTCATGCTTGTTCACACCGGCCATTCCAAGAACTTGGAAGCTCGCATGCCCGTGTTGTCTCGAAAAACTAAAAAGTGTATTTTGTTGACCTAAAAGTCATTTTTTTAAAAAAATCACCCCTAGGTCATGGCAAAAGGAGATGAGTTTTTATTGTTGGCTCATTTGCCATCGAACCGGATCTAAAACTCGCTCAAAACTTGGTCGACCATTTTTAGGGAACATCAACCCGAGCTCACGGTCGAGGCCGATGAGTGTCTATGGTTGTCACTTTGGCTATGATGTAGGTCCCAAAAACCTCAAACAAGGAATTATAGTTTCTCTATAGATTGTTTCACACTTGTTCACATCGACCCTTCCGGGAACTCCAAAGCTCGAATGCTCGCATTTTCTCGAGAAACTAAAAAATTGTATTTTCTCGGTCTAAAAGTCATTTTTTTGTAAAAATCACCCCCGAGTCATGGCCATAGGGATGAGTTTTTATCGTTGGCTTGTTTGCCATCGAACTAGGTCTAAAACTCGCTCAAAACTTGATCGGCTATTTTTGGGCGAAAATCAACCTCAGCTCACCGTAGAGGTCGATGAGTCTCTATGGTTGTCACTTTGGCTATTATGTGAGTCTCAAAAACCTCAAACCAACAATTACGGTTTCTCTACAGATCGTTTCACGCTTGTTCACACCGGCCCTTCCGAGAACTTAAAAGCTCGCATGCCCACATTGTCTCGAAAAACTAAAAAAGTGTATTTTCTCGGCTTAAAAATCATTTTTTGGAAAAATCAACCCTGGGTCATGGCCGAAGGCAATGTGTTTTTATCATTGACTCGTTTGCCATCGAACCGGGTCTAAAACTTTTCAAAACTTGGTCGCCCATTTTTGGGCGAAAATCAACCTCGACTCACGAGTCGAGCCCAATGAGTCTCTATGGTTTTCACATTGGCTATGATGTAGGTCTCAAAAACCTCAAACCAGCAATTAGAGTTTCTCCATAGATTGTTTCACGCTCGTTCACACCGGCCCTTCCAGGAACTCGAAAGCTCACATGCCCGCATTGTCTCGAAAAACTAAAAAACCTATTTTCTCGAAGCTAAACGTCGTTTTTTTACAAACATTACCCCTAGGTCATGGCCCAACGTAATTAGTTTTTATCATTGCCTCGTTTGCCATCGAACTGGGTCTAAAACTGCTCAAAACTTGGTCGGCCATTTTTGGGCGAAAATCAACCTCGGCTCACGGTCGAGGCCGATGAGTCTCTCGTGGTTGTCACTTTGGCTATGATGTAGGTCCCAAAAACCTCAAATCGGGAATTATAGTTTCTCTATAGATTTTTTAACGCTCGTTCACATCGACTCTTCCGGGAACTTGAAAGCTCGCATGCTCGAATTGTCTCGCAAAACTAAAAAAGTGTATTTTCTCGGCCTAAAAGTCATTTTTTTGCACGAATCACCCCCAAGTCATGGCCATAGGCGATGAGTTTTTATGGGTGGCTCGTTTGCCATCAAACTCGGGTCTAAAACCGCTCAAAACTAAATCGGCCATTTTTGGGCGAAAATCAACCTCGGCTCACGGACGAGGCCGATGAGTCTCTGTGGTTGTCACTTTGGCTATGATGTAGGGCCCACAAACCTCAAACCAGTAATTAGAGTTTCTCTATAGATTGTTTCACGCTTGTTCACACCGGCCCTTCCAGGAACTCCAAAGCTCGCATGCCCGCATTGTCTCGAAAAACTAAAAAAGTGTATTTTCTCGGGCTAAAAATCATTTTTTTTGCAAGAATCACCCCCGAGTCATGGCCCAAGGCAATTAGTATTTATGGTTGGCTCGTTTCCATCGAACCGGGTCTAAAACTCGATCAAAACTTGGTCGGTTATTTTTAGGCGAAAATCAACCTCGACTCACGATCGAGGCCGATGAGTCTCTGTGGTTGTCACTTTGGCTATGATGTAGGTCTCAAAAACCTCAAACCAGCGATTACATAGGTTTCTACCTCGTTCACAGGGAACTCAAAAGCTCGAATAACCGCATTTTCTCGAAAAACTAAAAAATTGTATTTTCTCGACCTAAAAGTCATTTTTTTGCAAAAATCACCCCCGTGCCATGGCCAAAGGTGATGAGTCTTTATCGTTGGCTTGTTTTCCATCAAACTAGGTCTAAAACTCGCTCAAAACTTGGTCGGCTATTTTTGGGCGAAAATCAACCTCGGCTCACTGTCGAGGCCGATAAGTCTTTGTGGTTGTCACTTTGGCTATGATGTAGGTCCCAAAAACCTCAAACAAATAATTACAGTTTCTCTAAAGATTGTTTCATGCTCATTCACGTCGGCCTTTTCTAGAACTTGGAAGCTCGCATGCCCGCATTGTCTCGAAAAACTAGAAAAGCGTATTTTCTCGACCTAAACGTCGTGTTTTGGCACAAATCACCCCTAGGCCATGGCCAAAGGCGATGAGTCTTTATTGTTGGCTCGTTTTCCATCGAATTGGGTCTAAAACTGCTCAAAACTTGCTCGGCCATTTTTGGGCGAAAATCAACCTCGACTCACGAGTCGAGGCCGATGGGTGTCCGTGGTTGTCACTTTGGCTATGATGTAGGTCCCAAAAACCACACACCAGCAATTACAGTTTCTCTATAGATTGTTTGACGCTCGTTCACATTGGCCTTTCCAGGAACTCGAAAGCTCGCATGCCCGCATTGTCTCGAAAAACTAGAAAAGCGTATTTTCTCGACCTAAACGTCGTTTTTATGAAAAAATACCCCCGGGACATGGGCAAAGGCCATGAGTTTTTATTGTTGGCTCGTTTGCCATCGAACCGAGTCTAAAACTACTCAAAACTTGATCGACCATTTTTGGGGAACATCAACCTCGGCTCACGGTCGAGGGCGATGAGTCTCCGTGGTTGTCACTTTGGCTATGATGTAGGTCCCAAAAACCTCAAACCAGCAATTACGGTTTCTCTATAGATTGTTTCACGCTCGTTCACACCAGCCTTTCCGGGAACTCGAAAGCTCGCATGCCCGCATTGTCTCGAAAAACTAAAAAAGCATATTTTCTCGACCTAAATGTCGTTTTTTTACAAAAATACCCCTGGGACATGGGCAAAGGCCATGTGTTTTTATTGTTGCCTCGTTTGCCATCCAACTGGGCCTAAAACTGCTCAAAACTTGATCGGTTATTTTTGGGCGAACATCAACCTCGGCTCACGGTCGAGGCCGATGAGTCTCTATGGTTGTCACTTTGGCTATGATGTAGGTCCCAAAAACCTCAAACCAATAATTATAGTTTCCATATAGATTTTTTCACACTCGTTCACACCGGCCCTTCTAGGAACTCGAAAGCTCGCATGCCCATATTGTCTCGAAAAACTAGAAAAGCGTATTTTGTCGACCTAAACGAAGTTTTTTGGCAAAAATCACCCTCAAGTCATGGCCAAAGACGATGAGTTTTTATCGTTTGCTCGTTTGCCATCGAACTGGGTCTAAAATAGCTTAAAACTTAGTCGGCTATTTTTTGGCAAAAATCAACCTCAACTCACAGTCGAGGCCGATGAGTCTTTGTGGTTATCACTTTGGCTAAGATGTAGGTCCCAAAAACCTCAAAACGAGCAATTACATTTTCTCTATAGGTTGTTTCACGCTCGTTCACATCGGCCTTTCCAGGAACACGAAAGCTCACATGCCGACATTGTCTCAAAAAACTAGAAAAACAAATTTTCTCGACCTAAACGTCATTTTTTTATAAACATCGCCCCCGTGTCATGGCAAAAGGCCATGAGTCTCTATGGTTGTCACTTTGGCTATGATGAAGGTCTCAAAAACTTCAAACAAGCAATTACAATTTCTTAAAAGATTGTTTCACGCTTGTTCACATCGGCGCATCCGGGAACTCGAAATCTCGCATGCCCGCAATGTCTCGAAAAACTAAAAAAGTGTATTTTCTCGACATAAAAGTCATTTTTTTGCAAAAATCACCCCTGGGTCATAGCCATCGGCAATGAGTTTTTATCATTGGCTCGTTTGCTATCGAACCGGGTCTAAATCGCTCAAAACTTGGTCGGCCAAATTTGGGCGAAAATCAACCTCAACTCACTCGTCGAGGCCGATGAGTCTCCGGGGTTTTCACTTTGGCTATGATGTAAGTCCCAAAAACCTCAAAGTAGCAATTACATTTTCTCTGTAAATTATTTCACGCTCGTTCACATTGGCCTTTCTAGGAACTCGAAAGCTCGCATGCCCACATTGTCTCGAAAAACCTAGAAAAACGTATTTTCTCGACCTAAACGTCGTTTTTTTACAAAAATCACCCCCGTGTCATGGAAAAAGGCCATGAGTCTTTATCGTTGGCTCGTTTTCCATCGAACTGGGTCTAAAAATACTGAAAACTTGGTCGACCATTTTTGGTTGAAAATCAACCTCGGCTCACGGTCGAGGTCGATGAGTCTCTGTGGTTGTCACTTTGGCTATGATGTACCTCCCAAAAACCTCAAACCAACGAATTACAATTTCTCTATAGATTGTTTCACGCTCGTTT